TGTTTTATAGTAATCTGTGTTTTTTTTAGCTAAATATTAGGCTTTCTCTATGGAACAACTGACTAATGCAAGCTGTTGCTAGAATATTCTATTAACTTTAATTGTGTTTTTAGAGATTGTGAATGACCGTAAACCAAAAACTATAAAGTGTAAATGAAACCATTAATTTATTCAACTAATTGCGAGGTTCTGAATGAAGCTCTAGAGTGTGTGACTGGAGCTGTCATTTGCGGAAGAGAGGGCCGAGTTGCAAACCTAATTCATCTAAAAATAAATTTCCTTTATAAATTTTAAGTGAATTTTACAGACATTTTAATAACTATTTATTATATAGTTATTCTACTATTCGGGGCGGAGACAAATCCAACAAATCAGATATAATTAAAATTGGTCCAGCCGAACTTCAGTTATAAATGGAGTAAATAAGTCGACTTTGTTTTATCTTTTTATATACAGGGTGTCCCAATAAATTTTCTTAATTTTGTGAGAGCCAAATAGTGTTAAAGCACTTAGCAAAATATAGACAACCAAAATCTCACTCAAATCGGAATAACGGTTCTTCAAATAACTGAAAAAATGTGTTTATGTTCTTAAAGTTTAATGCCTTCTAGCGGACAAACAAAGCACTTTTGTATAGAGGTATCATTCCGATAAAAAAAAGTAGTACAAGAATTAGTAGTCCCAGATAGAACTCCTGGTCTATAAGGATGTCGAGAAGTGGATATCGTCCTCACTATGAAAACAATACAATTATGCCACCTCACTTTGTAGGCGTTACCATGAATTTGGTAATAATTGGTAGGTATACGTGGCGAAATAAAAGTATATAAAATTTACCTACCTTTTAAAATGGGCAATTTTTCAAGTTTTAAAAATATTTTATTATAGACCAGCAGATTAAATCATATTTTGTTGTACTACTTTTTTTTTGATCGCAATGGTACATTGTGTCCAATGAACTTATTTTGATGCCAAAAATCCGTAGTAGTTATATGTTCACAGAATTTGCGACACCCTGTATAAAGAAATGTGAAATATCGTACGATTGAGAAAAAATAGCGTCCAGTTGGCTTGGAAATGACGATTAATGACATTTGCCATATAATTTTACATATAAAATGACAGCGACTTTCATATAGCCATCACTAACTCCGTTGTTTTTTCGATCGTATTGTAGCGACTCTATTTGGCTGATAATAACAGTACAAATATACACCGTTCTCAATATTTAGTGCATTCAATCAATAAATACAAATGTCAGTAAATGCGTTAGCACTGCACCGGTAACGTACCTATTCAAAATGTTTAACTAACAAATTAAATTATTTATTAAACACGGCTTCATCAATTAATACGGTGCCATGCCGCACTCTCTCATCAAATAATTCCATTTTAATAGTACCCTCGTGCAAAACACGTTATATAATCAACAAACAATTTGTTTACGATCAAACCAACAAAGAAACAATAATTTCATGGTATGCTGATTGGAAAAATTGGCATAGAGCTGGCTAATTGAACGGATTCAATGGAAAATGAAACCAATTTCGTTTAAAAAAATAAACATGATAAGATGATATATACAGGGTGGCTCTTTTCATAGAACAGGAAGGCTCCAAGAATAAGGAAATTTTTTATTGTAATGAAACTTTGTGAGCAGTTTAATAAAATAATGGGGTATCCATTTAAAATAAGAAAGATACTGCCAGCTTCCAGTATACATCCGGATGTGCGGCCATATTGAAAAAAATACTGAGGAAACTCATTATAAAGCACTAACGTGCAAAAAGCTACATTTCTACAAAATAATTTGTTTGGAACCTCAGTTATGGACACTCTGTATAAAATATAAACATACACTAGTGGTTTCGTGCGATTTCAAATAAAAATATCCATGTATTGGCTTTATTTAAAAAATAATTAAAATTCAAACAGATCGATTGAAGCTTGTTAAGTATGCTTATGTAAGCAAAAGCTTTGTTGATTTTTCTCATTATTTTCAAGAAAAAAGGCAAGGATGTTTTCACTAAGCTTGAATAAGGAATGTAATTAATACTAATTTGAGATTCTTCGAAAAATACGGTTGTTCTGTAGAATCTACATATAGTCGATACAGAGTTATACAATATTAGTCGGAATGTAATCTGTATATAAGAATCGGCATCATAAAAAATGTCTATACATTTGAAGGGTACAATCGAGGGGTGTCTCACTACTGGAATTACATGTACATTTTTTTGGCAGTCGCTGGCAGTCATTGGCAGTCTTATGGCAGTCGCCTATAATAATTACATGGCAGTCATAGGCAGTCTTCTTCGTTGTCACTGGCAGTCGCTTGACAAGAAACTGATATTTTGGCAGTACATGTACATTTTTTACCCAAGTAAGACACCCCTCGGGTACAATTAAAAACACCAAACATTGCACAAAAGGTGATTCTGAGAGAAATGCAAATTACAGTTTATCAATTCAGTCTGGAAGTACTAGTATTTGTAATTCTTAAGGGTGCTATTTACCAAACTTTAATCTGGGGTAGGACTTTTAGGTAAAGGTAGAGTGGTCAATGACCAAAGAAAACCAAGTTGCTTTTCACTGATGTTTTGGAGTCTATGTACTCCTCTTCAGATGCCTATACAGCAGCACGATCAACCGAATCGGCACTCTATCAGCTAGTAAGCAAAGTGGAGTCGACGTTCGAAACAAGAGAAGTGCTTTTAGGGGCATTCCTCGACATAGAAGGGGCGTTTGATAACACCTCATTTCAGTCACTGACGAGAGCTACAAGGAACCTCGGATTAGAGGAGACCTGCTGCAGGTGGATAGACTGCATGCTCAAAAGTCAGTGGCATATACCACCCTCCTAAATGAGACTGTTGCAGTCCGGGTGGCGGGAGGATGCCCGCAAAGGGGAGTTCTCTCCCCTCTGCTGTGGAATCTCGTTATGGACGGACGGCTCAATAGTCTCAACAGGGCTGGTGTCAACACTCTGGGATATGCAGACGATTTGGTCGTGTTAGTCAGAGGTAAGTTTAACACAACAGTAAGGGAGCGAATGCAAAGGGCCTTGAAGATTGTGGAATCATGGGTGACACGGGAGGGACTAAATATTAGTCCTACAAAAACCGTAATAATCCCCTTCACCAAGCGCAGAATACTTGAGGGACTAGGCCCTCTAAGACTCTGCGGTGATGAGATTCCTCTCTCGGGGGAGGCCAAGTATCTAGGAATCACGCTTGATACCAAACTGACCTGGAACCGACATTTGGAAAATGTCACAAGGAGGGCGGTGACTACACTAGCGGTAGTCAGACGCCTTCATGGAAAAATCTGGGGCCTTAGACCACAGATGGTGCACTGGCTGTACACTGGAGTGGTGAGGCCTTCAGTAACATATGCATCCTTGGTATGGTGGCCTAAGGTAATGCAACAACAACAATGCTCAGCCTCAGCAAGGTGCAAAGACTTGCTTGTCTGAGCATAACAGGGGCGATGAAATCAACGCCCACTGTATCAATGGAGGCGCTTTGGACCTTCCGCCTCTTCACATAGTGATCCAGGCGGAGGCAAGAATGGGACTCTATCGACAACAAAGTGTCTTGTCTCTGGGAAATAGGACAGAAACAGGACACTCAAAGATGGGAAATCCTATCGGGGGACCTCTACTCCAAATGAGATCGGACCAGATGACCCCTCTTTATCACTACCACAAACCATTCGAGGTGAACAAAATGGATCGAGGAATGTGGACAGATATAACATTCCTTCAGGATGGACTAACCTGGTATACAGACGGGTCAAAGACCGCTGAAGGAACAGGAGCTGGAGTATTTGGGGAAAGACCAAGGGTAAGTTTATCCTTTTCCTTGAGTAAACACTCAACCGTATTCCAGACAGAAATCTTCGCCATTCTACAATGTGCGAGAGAAAACAATAGAAGAGCTTATTCAGATAAGCTCATCAATATATGCTCAGACAGTCAGGCGGCACTTGGGGCGCTTATGAGCCCAAAGGTATCGTCGAGACTCGTCTGGGAATGCCTAGGTGAACTGAAAGCTCTGGCTCGACGGAACAGAATTAAATTATTCTGGGTGCCGGGCCACAGCGGCATCCAAGGCAACGAAAAAGCCGATGAGCTAGCTAGGCAAGGATCATCGGCATCTTATCTTGGTCCAGAGCCAGTACTGGGTATACCCAAATGTATGGCCCGTAGTGCATTAAAACTCTGGATCAGGGAAAAGCAGAATGTCCAGTGGAGAAACAGACAGGGGCACAGGCACAGCAAGGCTTTTATCCAAGGACCTAGCTCCAAAACCGCAAAAGAACTGCTAATGCTTAGCAGGAATAAATTGCGGATTACAACAGGCCTCTTGACAGGACATATGGCTGTCAAGTGTTACCTGAACAAGCTCAATCTGTATCAAGGAAGTCTTTGCTGCAGACTCTGCGATAAAGATCCTGAAACAGCGGAGCACATAATATGTCACTGCGAGACTCTGGATCGCAAGCGACACTTTTTTATTTGGGAAAGCTAGGCTAGAACCGGAGGAACTATGCTCCCATCCTATCAAGGACCTGCATAAGTTAGTGCAGGGCACAGGGATAGGAGAATGGGTGCAGATATAGAAAGGGGACAAACACAATAGGCCTCACAGGTCGCAGTGTTTCCGGCAGAGGACGGCCCCTTATTGTGGAAAAAAAACTCCTCTTCAGGGCTCTGTTAATAAAAAAGATGGCTCATTGGTCATAACAGCTGAAATAAACATTATTGCGCATTTCTATGTAGTGACAGGGCTTTGAAGATGGAGTAAAGAGAGACTGAAACGTTAACCAAGAAATTTATATTTGAGTTTCTTTGGTTCTTGATAATTTTAGTTAAGTTCAATCATACAAACTAGAAAAAAATAATTAACACCAAAAATGAAACAACAATAATCTTTTAGTAATACTATATGTTCCTCCTTTATTAATATTTAGCTAATGATTTATATTTTTTGTTTCAGGTGAAACTTTAAAGCGTGACTTACAATGGCCTTCATCAAATTACAAAATAAAAGTATGATACTAAATCCTTAAAAATATTTCCATTCATCATTATAATACGTTTTTTAGATTTAGTTCCAATCAGAGCCTTAATATGGGTTATGTTATTCACTTGTACTTTCGTCCTCTACATGCTTAGAACTAATCTATCTATTATAATTTTGGCTATGGTCAGTACAAAAGGAAATAACTCAACTTCAACAATTATACCTGAGTGCATTCTGAAGAACTCCAATTATACAGTAACAAAATACAGTAATTTAACCAATCTAGAACAAGAATCACTGATAGTAAGTATTAAAATTGATCCAATTAGTGTGGTTCAAATTATTGGTTTCAATTACACTTTATACTTTTAAGTTTGCAATCATCCACAATGTCTAAAGAACACAATTAAATTAATAGAATATTCTAGCAACAGCTTGCGGTAAACAGTTGTAACCATAGAGAAACCCTAATATTTCGCTTATAAAACAATCAACTTTTGATTTCTAACCACATTTTCTCTTGGCGGATGATAATCAAATGCCAAAATGACATTCCTCGCAGATTTTGAAGTATAATTAGTGGAAAAGTTAAAAGTTTGGTAACTTTTTCCACTAATTGAAAATTCCTGCCACTAATTTTGACGGTCTGAATGCCTACATTCATTCAAATTAGAGAAACAAACTTTTACGCTAATTGAAACCACTAATTTATTCCACTAATTGCGAGGTTCTGAATCAAGCTAACAATCAGTTGGATACTTTGTGACGTCATCAATGATTACGTCTATTAAAAAAATTATTAATAAATCAAAATTAAAGTTTATTTTTGTTATTTAGCACAGTGTACAATACGAGTGGTCTCCACAACTACAGGGTTTAATACTAGGAGCGTATTTTTGGGGCTTTGTGATAGCGGGAATCCCCGCGGCAGCAGTGGCTGAGAAATTTGGTCCCAGGATATGCGTGACGATTTCGTTTTTGGCCAGTACTGTTCTCACCTTGTTGGGACCACTGTGCGCCTCGATTCATCCCAATTTGTTGATAGCTTCCAGGTTTTTCATTGGATTATTTGGGGTGAGTATCCGAACAAATCTACGAGTGGTTTACTATTCAATTACTTATTATCATCCAAACAGGCTCAGTGGTCTGATAAATAATGCCTATACTTTTGTGGTAGGGCCGTTTCCTTAAAATACTTCTGGGTTTTGCCATCAGAAGATAAACTAAAAAAAATAAAATAGTTATTTTTTGTAAACACCGCTGGGTTGATTCAACGGAGACAAATTTGTCAGTGATATTTTGCTAATAAAACAAATTTGTCTAACGCACAAAAAAAGCTTAACGCTTCAGGAGGTATATCTCCTCCAAAAATAAAACCTAATACACAGAACAAAGAAAAAACTATTTAAATACAACTATTGAAGAACACTTTATTTTTTAACAGATGCGTCTAATATAAACCGTTGACTTTCTGTTAAAATAATATGTATATTCAATGAAGTCAAACTTAGAAACTGCGAATCAAACTTCAAACAATCACTACGTGATTACAATTATTATTTTATGAGGTAAAACCAAATTGATTATTTTTAGTTTGTCTTTAATTTTTACTTATATTACTAGGAACTTTTAGAAATTCTTTCAATATGTCCCAGCCATCCATCTAGTTTTTGTGCTCTTGCTGCTCCCGTTAAACTCGGTACGCAATATAGCTGCTTTAATTATTCGTTTGTTCTTCTCCTTGATCTGCTTTCCTAAAACCCTCCTCAGTATTTTCCTTTCACACGCATATAGTAATATTTGTCGTATCATTGTTTGATACATTTTTTTACTTTTAAACTTCTAGAGATATTCTTGCTTGCTCTGAATATTTCTCTGTAGTGCTTTTACACATCTATTTCCTTCGATTATTCTTGACACAATTCCTAACACTTTCCTGGGTTACATTTGGTTTCTTTATAAATACGGTTCTTAGATATGTGAATGTATTTTCTTCCTCAAACTTTTATCGTTTACCTCTCTCAGAAATTATTTATAGACATCTTTTATTCTGAAAATCTCCTCATAAATTTAGTTATCTTTTCATTAAACACTTTAAACACTAAGCCTACTTTTTGCGCTTGATCTTCTAGTCTTTTGGTCACTGATAACGGCTCTATCCGATCTCTTGCTAAGATAACTAAATCATCTGCAAAGGCTTTTGGTATCTTTCAATTGGTATCTTTCTGTGCACAGAAGGCCCTCTCTGTTATCCAAAATAGTGGTTTTTACAAAAAATATCTTTTTTGTACATTTTCTAATAGCGGCGAAAACACGAAAGTATTTTCATTATTAGCACTATTGAGATTGTATTAAGAATTCTTGTTAATAAACATTAAATTAATTTGAGCCACTCGGTATAATTCGAAGGTAAGAAATATCATATCCATGGCATTACTACAGATAACAATAACGCACGTAATCTAATGTAATAATAATAACAACCAATTTAACAAAGGTATGACGACTCGGACAAGAGTGTAAACAATAAAATAGTTCAAACGTGTCTACGATATTTTAACATTAATATAATACAATATTATATCCCTCCATTAATTATTTTAATGGAAAAATACTAACAGAATTTTCAATAATATTGTACGAATAAAATTTGCCAATAAATTAAATATTATCGAAAAGTTACGATTCATATTTTTTGAAATAATTTCATTAGTAATATAATAAAGCCTGAAAAAAATAAATTATATCAGAATTCAAAAACGTTGAATGTCAATATTTTTGAATAATGTTTAATAAAAACATTTTATTAACTAATTTGAAGAAAATTTTATTAGAAAATACTAAGAGCATTGGGTCCTTTATATACTTAAATCACGATAAATCACTTAATACAGGGTCTGGCAATAGTGCGTCGGGCATCTGTAACTCCTAGAATAAAAAAACTTGGTAATTTTGTTCAAGTGCAAACCTAAAGTATACTAGGATATATTTCAGAAAAAAAATTTAACTTCTATATGGTGGTTCAAAAAAGTGTGAGTGTATCGGGATGATTTTTTTTTTAAATAAACAACACCCTGTATATTATTGCATTTTTGGCTTTCTTTCAGATTTCACTTTACATAATCCTAAGACATGAGTAAATATATTTCGTTAGTTTCTGAGATATTAATCAATAAATAAAAATGTATTTTTTAGCCTTTCCTAAAAGAATTATTAAAAATACAAGAACTGTCCTGAAATCAAAACTATTTTAGGTATTTACTTAAGAATGGCCTGTACTTACTTTACTATAAATATCGTAATCTTAAATCATGCAGGGTGTTCAAAATTCTACGCCAAACAGAAGTGACACCGGTAAAGGCCTGGCGCGCGGGGATTGAAAACTATTGAATTATTAACATCGCTAATAAAAAATAGGGGTTGATCGTAGAAGGATGAAAATTTATGGTTTAATGTATTTTTTATCATAATAATTAGCGATGGGAACTATCGAATGAATTAGACTATCGAATGGTTACTGAATGAATGATTTCAACTATCGAATGGTTTTATTCGAATAAAATCATTCATTCATTTGTATACTAAAGCATATGTGACAACCTCGCCGTGCGACTAAATGGTTATCGTTGCGCCACGAGCCACGACTATCGAATGCTTTTGATAAATGAAATTTAGTATTCGTTTGATTTTTGTGTGTGTGTCTGCATTATTAGTTCTTCCAATTTTTTATAACTTCGCCTTGTAAATACTATGCTATTTTTGCGTTTATTAAAATATTTAAAATACTAAAATAGTAGTTTTTTTTAATTGACGATTGTGTGTGAAGTGGTCAAAATTTTTCCGAAAATTTGTGTGATTTTCCGTAGCCCGATCTTTCAATTATTTAATTTTATATGGTATATTATGGTTAGGTTAGATTGCATTTTTTAAAGGGAAATTTTGAGAAGTAGCAATTTTTAACAGAGATGAGATGAACTTACAATTAATTTTAAAAATACATATTTGTATTTTAGATGTTTTAATAATATGAATTAGTTGAACTTAATAATCATATTTAAGTAATGTGGTAATAAAAAATAAAGTAAATTGTGTTGTCGAACTCAAATTTTGGGGTGAGAAAATTAAATTGACAGTTTTACACGTGCCCATTTAAAAAAAAAAGTTAACAATGTTTGTATTTTGTTTATGCTAATTCTCTTACATGTAGTTTTTTGCGAAGAAATATTTCATTTATGTTTTAAAGTAAATGCCAGCAAAAGTAAATATTATTTTTAAATAATAATATAAAGTAATATTATAGAAAAGTAATATAAATAATTTTGATTTCTAATTTTTTATTTATATTTTCCTTCCATTACACTGCATGCTTAGAAAATTAATAAATGTTTATATTTCATGATTTTAAAATTTGTTGTTAATATAACAAATTAGTTCTGTAATTATTATTATTTAATAAACCAACGTTGCCATTTAGAGACTTTATTATTTTTAAATAGGATCTAATATAAATACTTTTGACTTCTATTTGTTGTTTATATTTTGCTACTACTTAAAACAAATGTTTATATTATTAAATGATTGTAAATTTTGTTAATAGGTATAACAAATTATTACTGTTATTATTTTTTATTAAACCAGTCTTTGCTTAAAAACATTAAAAATCATTTTCCTACATCCAAAATTATTAAGTATTATTGCAGTGTAACAACAGAATATTAATAAAAATATGCAAAACATATAGACATACTATCCCTAACTAACTAATGCTAAAGAATAATATTCTTTGCTAATACCAACTAATAAAAATATATGGCAACAGCGCCCTTCATAATATATTTTCTGTGTAAATACTAGCACCTCAATAAAAAAAAATAATGTGTCCTTATCTTTATTTGACTCCGCAAAAAATCAAAGATGCCGGCTTCTTTCATAGCATTGCCACCGACCGCTGTCGGGTTTCTAGGAAAGAAACCTACGTCGCCGGACGACAACTAAAATCCAGTTTATATTTTATTAAAATCGATCCTGACGAATAAATGAATTTGATAAATGAATAAATTTTATAAATGAATGGTTTTTGCTGCCGAATTACTAGAATACAATATTTCAAGGCAGATGACGCATCTATTCGATAATTTTTATTCGAATAGTTCTCAACGAATGTTTTCTTACTAGCTATCGAATTATTCGAATGAATTGCAACTATCGAATGTTTCGATACTATTCATTCGATAGTTCCCACTACTAATAATAATCATCATAAAAAAATAAAATATTATCCAAAAAAAAAATAAAAAATCGGGGTGGATCACCTTTATCACTTAGGGGTATAAAAATATCTTCCTCTTCAAGTGTCATGTTCCTAGTGAACGTTGGCGACTGCCATGTTAACAATATCTCTGTATCGCTCCCGATCTTGCGCTACATGGAGTAATGCATCCGCGCTCAAGCCTGTCCATTGCCGCAAGTTCCTCAACCACGAAAGCCTCTTGCGCCCAATCCACTTCTTTCCTTCGATTTTTCCGTTAAGGATCAGTCGGAGAAATTCATATCGAGGTTCTCTGCTTATATAGCCAAGGTACCTATTCAAGTTTTCGTCGCTCGGTAATATTCAGAAGAACTTCTTCATTCCTGGTTCTGGTTGTCCAAGATATTTTAAGCATTCTTCTGTATGTCCACATTTCAAATGCTTCGATTTTATTTATCGTTTCTTTATTAAGTGTCCACGTCTTACATCCATACAAAAGAATCGACCACACATAACACTTTGTAAACTTGTCCCGTATTTTGATGTTTAATGAACTATTTGAGAGCAGCGACTTAAACTTCTGAAATGCATTTCTTGATTGTTCTATACATCTGATTTCGCATGAAGGATCGATATGTTGGTTAATCCAACAGCCCAGGTATTTAAACTTCGCCACTCTCTCCAACGTTTCCCCATTCAACAATAATGAGGTCTCGCCGACATCTACTTTACTCACTAAATATGTGGTTGTGAGTAAAGTAGATGTCGGCGAGATCTCATTATTGTTGAATGGGGAAACGTTAAAAAGATATAACAACCTTATTCT